CTAACCACCATAGAGATAGTGAAATTAACAATATCTTACCCCTTATTTGTTCTGGTGTCAAAATTTTATGGTCGATAGTTAAAATGATCTTACCATCTTTTAGCAAGATATAAAATATATCATCAGGCTTTGTTATGTCAATCACATAACTCTTGTTAGGCCTAGTCTAGCCTTTGCTCTCGAAAGGTTTAAGAAATTGAGAAATATATGGGAGTCCTTATTTTAATTTAGCTATATTGACGTCATTCATTCCAATATTCATATCTCCTTTAGCGAAAGAGTTAACTTCATTACTTTCTAATTCCGTGTTTTAGAAGTGAATCAGTATAAATTTCATGTGGGAGACCTAAAATACCTCCCAAAGGAATGAAAAATAAACCTAATCTCCAAAACAATGACGAGGAAGACCAAGGCAATAGCACCATTGACAACATGAATATTGTGAAGCCAGTTGGAGTTCTTAATGAGCCACCAAAACACACAGAAAGAGGAAGGGAATGAAGAAGAGGAGGAGCAAGTCATAAGAGAAAGCAGGGGAAGAGAGAACAAGGGAGTAATAGGAAGCAAGGTAAAAAAAGAAGAGGAAGCAAGAGCAAATGGAGGGTGTAGATGCAACTCTCAAAGGGACCAGGGATGAAGCTATCATGTGAAATCTCTCCTCTGCAGTTCCTTGATTCGTGTTTTCCCTTGAAGGAGGAAATGCTATAAAGGGAGAAGAACAAATAGAAGAAGCAATTGAAGGTTAAGAAATAGTAGGTCAAGTTGTTGATTCTCACAATGAGGATGGAGACCTTAACAAAGATGGAAGGGGCATAGCAGATAATGTTAGAAAACTTAAATTTACTGATTTAATTTTTTTTTAATTTCAAAAATTAATTTAGCTATTATCAGGTCAAATATTTATTATGTTGCAAACTTGAATGTCATTGACTCATTTAGTCAAAACTAACACTATTAATGTTAACTAGGATTAAAACGTTACTAACATTAAATGTGTGCTTAAAAATAACTAACTTGTAAATACAAGAATTAAGGAATAAAGCTACTAATTTAACTTAAAAATAAAATTCCAGTATCTACGCATAAAATTTTTATTTATAATATTTAACAGATAAAATTTTTATTTATTCATCTAATGGTAACAAAGAATATTAATATTGGTCTTATTTGACCTGAAGGGCAAAAGCAAACGGCAATATTGTTATATAAAAAATAGGTAAAGATGAACAAAAGAAAATGACGTCATGGAATAAAGGAAATTAGTTTAAGCCTAAAGGAAAAATAGAATAAATGCAGAGCTAAAGAAAAGATATGAAGGTTTAGTTAGATAAGTACAGTCTCAACTTTTAATGGTCTGATCAAATTTCAAAATGATGGTCAACAAGAGACAAGCAATTTCCCTAGAAAAAATTTACTCTAATAATCAAGAGAAAATTATTCCTCTTATATGATAGTAAATACTAAGACTAAACCCTCATTTTTAAGTCCCTGAAAGAGTTTGAATCTAACATTTTAATCTCTAAAAAATTTAAAATATCATATTAGTCTTTAACTTTTTTTTTTCATTATTCATTTTAGTCCTTAATTTCAAACTCCATTAAGAAACCGTATCAGAAAGCTGACTTGTTACGTTAAGTGTCATGTCAGAAGTTTAATTAGCAAAAACGACATTATTTTTAGAAGCCTAGTTGGCAGAATCAATGTCGTTTTTGAAAGTCTAAGTGTATACGCAGAATTTTACCCAAATTCATCTTTGAAATTGTGTTTGACAATGGAATATTTAGAAATTGAAGTTTGTTATAATGGAAGAAGTAGAATCAGATAGAGAATTTGGTAAAAAAAAATTTTCTTAATCACCTTGAGTCATTTTCTGTTTTGGAGACGACAAGCCCTAATTTTATACTTTTTTGGAGACAACGAACAACCTATAACATATTCATTACCAACAAATTAGCCTCTAGCTTAGGAATACTTTCCAAGCCACTGGAGTACTGGACAATCTGTTGATCTCATTCCTATATTTAGAAACTGCAAAATCCTATTTTTGCAAATTAACCTTTAATTGTTCAATCTCTGAGTTCTTTTTATTTAGAAGACCTTTTAGATTGTCGCTATCTTAAACCAGCCCCTTTCCTTTCTTAAGTGTTATGGACAATTTATCCTTAAGCATGACAATCTTTTCCTCTGATCATTCAAGATCCTGCAGCAGAAAATTCCTTTCTTCATTCAGTGCTACACTATTTTTTGATGCCATTTTTAACTAAGTTAACACCCTAGAACCCTAACAGTGGAAGACTAGAGGCACATAACCTAACACCACTTTGATAACGTCGTTTCTGTCAACTAAGCTTTCAAAACGATGTCATTTCTGTCAAATAGATTTCTGACATGACACTTAACGTGACAAGTCTGTTACTATTTATTAACAAAGTTTGAGATTAGGGACTAAAATGAATGACAAAGAAGAAAATTAGGAACTAACATGACATTTTAAATTTTTTAGAGACTAAAATGCTGAACTTAAATTCTCTTACTAAATTGAGGATTTAGTCTAAATACTAAATTAAAACATTGTTTACAAATAATAGAGTTGAAATATAACAAAAACATAAGGATATAAATTATAAATATTCTTCCATGTTAATCCTCAAGCTAAAATAACTCTTAACTTTTCTAGCTATGCTCAAAATGTATTTAATAAAGTTTACTCAATAAGTGATGAATCAACTCGAACATAGCTGAATTCAAAACTCAATAATAGGACAATAGTTGCATGAAAATTCCATGTAAGCTCAAAGCAAAATAAATTTTGGCGATGTGAATTTTTAACATAAACACAAGATTAGAGATATTTGTTAATTTGTTTTATTAAACTCCTTATTTTCTTTCGTCCTAATTAGCAAATTCCATGGCTAGACAGACATTTCTTTTTTATAATGGTTGAGTATATATAGTAAAACAATATATAAGATCATCACACTGAATATTTTCAAAGTCAAACAGATGTGCCAGAAATTTGGCATCACCACCTGTCAAAGGTCATAAAACACCTTGCTATTATCCTCAATCAACATTGTTTCAAAATTCTAAAGATCACTTACCAAACTTCATTTGGATCTAAACTTCAATACACTACATTTGGGACAACGGGTTATTTGAGAAATTACCAAGACGTGTTTCTCGCAATAGCCATTCAATTGCAAACTCTTGTCACCTGCAATAACATACTTACTGTTAAAAAAAGGAGATTCTACTCATCAATATATCACAATGTTCTAACTAACATAACTACACAATATACTTTTATTTAAGGAATTGTTATAGTAACTTTTCTACGACTATCGGTATCCAACATGAATATTCTTTCTTGTAAAGCATTAACTTCATGGCGTCAAAATCAATCTCAGATTGGACAATGACAAAATCTCAAGCCAAGTATGCCCTCTAAAGCACCCAAGCTTCAATAAACAACCAAAGCATTAACAACCGCTAAGTTATGAGTAAAACCTTTAATTCACAACTTGAAATTTTCTCTGATCAATCCACCATAACTAGAAGCACCAAAACAATGTTTATAGGCACCATAAGAATCAACTTTTACCAAAATATCCTTCTGCCATCTTGCTTCTTTAGTCCAATTTTCTTCTTTTTTGTTCTTGTTTAGAGTCATCCATGGGCTCCACTTTAGGAGAAATCCACCTGATAGTGCATACATTTTCATCACCAATTACATTCTCATTTGATGAATTGATGGGCTCTGCTTTTTCTTCAATTGGTTTATCGTATATGAGATAAATTGATGTCTTCTTCACAATGAATCCATTCTCAAAAACAACCACCACCTCTACTTTATTACCAGGTTCTATGTTTGATACTACCCTCTTCCACTCCTTATCTTTAAAGGAAGTTAATGTGTCTCTCTTATAGAGCTGAATGATAGTCTTTGTGTGATTTATCACTAACAAATTTTTAAGTCCATCTGATGTTATGTCATCTTGGGTAGAAGAATGAACAATGCATAGCATTGCCTTCAAGTTACGTCCATTCAATTGAGGGACTCGTAAATTCACAGAAGAACCTTCAGAATTGAATGTTAACCATTGTGGATAATTGTCACCAGGAAGCGAACAACTATCAACCCCATGGATGATCATATGCTGTAAAAAAGGAAAAGAAAAATACTTAAGTTCATTGATCTTAATACAACTTGATAATTAATTAAATAGTTAAAGATGTCGTTTTTCTTACAATTGTATAAACTTAATGAGATCTTTTAGCTTATTCTAAGTTTTATAATCAAATTTATGATTTAAATTCTCATATAACAAGAATTTATTGAATAAAAGTTTAATTGAGTTCCAAATATGCCTTAAAAATAATTTAACTACCGAAATAATTAGGCAATAATTAATATGTCACCTGTTTTAATTACATATATAATAATATACATATTTCTCTTCAAATGTTGCTTATATAAAAAGCTAACAAATAGATACATGCAAGACAAAGAGAAGAGACAGAGGAAAACCTGTGAAATGCTCTCTTTTAGAGTGTTGGCTACTTGGCAATTCATTCCCATTTGAATTGAAAGGGAATTCACAAATTCTTTTGATTTTGAATTATGGTCTAAGCTATTGCATTTGATTAATGAAGAAGTTTTCATATTTGGTAATTGTGATGGAGTTGGAATTGATTCCAATCCTTTGGGATTTGTGGCATATAAAGCATCTAAAATTCTCACCACATCTTGAGATAGTTGAAGTTCAGAGCCACACTCCACCCAAAGACTTTGAAGCTTTGAAAAGTCCATAGAGATAGATGATAGATCATGAGAACTACTACTTACATCTAAAGAAAGAGCATATGGCATGCCAATAGATGTTTGAATCAGGGATGAGAGATTATTTGTTGGTAACATCCAAGACCAAATGATAGAAGGAAATACATCCCGTGAGAACCCTTCATAGCCGCACAAAGAAATAAAGCCAATGTTTTTTGACCTTATTACTGAAAATGGCACACTTGTTATTGCTGTCTTATCTGCAATCAGGGTTGTCAAAGATTCCATTTGTTCTATATCCTCTTCCAACTTATCAATCATTAAGCATCCCGAAAGAATTAAAGTTTTCAAAGATTTTAATTTATAGATGCTTCTTGGAAGTTTACAAAGGCTAACACAATCTTTTAAATTTATAAGGAGAACTTTGCTAAGAAGTCCAATAGTATGGGAAATCTGGGACAAGCATCTGCAATCCACAAGTACTAATTTTTCAAGATTAGGCAAATATGAAAAGTCTGGTATCTTTGTCAAGTAATGAGAATGACTAAGATTGAGAATTTTCAGCTTGTCCATAAACTGCAAGAAAAAAACAATTATCAATAGAAATTATCAAAGAAACTTCAAAAAAATAGGTGGAAGCAAATAAAAACTTACGAGTGGAAAGTAAATTTTTAAGCACTAAGTATTACTTTTGCTTTCAAAATTTCCCATGCAAAGCTACATTTATGCGTATAATGTCATATGTAGTAATTATTAGAAGCCATTATGAGCATTTTCTAAGAGTTTAATTTTTTTTTCTAGGTTTTATAATTTGAATTTAGAGCATTTTCATCAAGTACTCAAAGATTGCGACCCCTACCATTCCCTTCTTGTTCTTATATCAGAATTTTTGCACAAGATTTTGGATATGTTTTATCTTTTGTATTCGAAAGAGCTTAAATTTAAGGTATGTATTAAATATATTAATAAAACTCATTTGATAAGATAATTTGTTGGAAATTAAATTTGGTTCATGATTAGTTTAGAAATTTCTTATATTCACAGTCATAATATTTATATTGTTGGAAATATTTAAAAAACTTTTATGTAAGGTACTTATAAAATTAAAAGGACTAAAAGAAAAAAGATAAAAATTGTCTTTGAGTATCATAGAATAAAATAATAATAATGTGTGTTTAGTTGAAGTTATTTATTAAAAAAACTTAAAGTACGTTTTTAGTTTCAATATTTTAATGATATTTTTGCATCTCCTTAAGAAATCTTTTAGTTTTAGTTCTACTTCTAGTACTATAATATATTATTATTTTTAGTCCCTATCGCTGTTATAATTCAAACAAAAATTAATATTTGACAACCTATTGATAAACCAAATTAGTAATAGAAACTAAAAATAAAAAAATATTAAAATATAAGAACTAAAACAAGAAAAAAATTTATTTAAAGGGAACTCAAATAAAATAATTTATTAAAATATGAGGACTAAAAACATATTTAAATATTTTTAAAAAAATATTTAATTTTTGTAACTTTTTAAGAGTGCTCTCGAAACACAAGCGATTATTTTTCATAATTTTTTCCCCAAACATGTTTTCTATGTGGGAAATTCAATTTAAATTGCGTTCATAAATAAGAAACATAAAAATAGCTCATGAAATGTAAAAACAATTAAAATTGGGTACAATTAATACCTGGGCCTTTTCCCACACTTGTTTGACATTGCTGTTTTCTAACTCAATAGAAACTAAACGCCCTTGATAGAAGTTTGTTGGTATGTATGTTAAAGGAAATCCATGCCAACAAAGCCATCTTAGATTTCTTGAAAGATATTCAAAATTTCCATCAAGTTGTACCCCGTTAAGTTGAAGTAATCTGAGTCTTTTCATCTTTTCAAATGCTTTAGTATTGAAACATTTTGCTTTAGTTCCTGAAAACTTCAAAGCTAATCCCTCAACAGCTTCTGTTCCCTGTAAAATAACAATTGATAGATATAAAATATGTGTAACTTAAGGATGTGTGGAAACTAAAATTTTTGTAATGAAACACATCATTTGTTATTAGGAATCAAGAAACACAAAGCATTTTAAAATCCAACGAATTTTCAAAGTCTTATGATAATAAAGAAAATAAAGTAATGCTAGCAATTGACTAATAATACATGTTTTTAGCTTAAGGTATTTTAAATTCAAGAACAATGCAAAATTCTTACAATTTGTGACGATAACACATCATATGCATCCTCATGAAACCATAACCTGCTACGCTTCTCAAACTCCTTAGGGGATTCAACACGGATGATTTCTCTTCCCATATCTCGTAGCAAATCATGCATTCCAAGCTTGTTCTTATCATCAACAGTTACAAGACTTCGCTCTATAAGGACATGTATTCCAATTTCTGGAAAAAGTCCACACCCATTCTGAATGTGTATAACATCGTTTCGGTCCATCCCAATAAAGAAACAAGCTATATCAAGAAATATTTCTCTCTGTGTATCATCGTTTAAACCATCATAGCTTATTTTCAACTTTTTTTGTACTTGATCATTGGGAATTATTTTGAGTTTCTCCAATAAACTTTTCCACTTTACAATCTCCATATCAAACAAATAGGACCCAAGGACTTCAAGAGCTAGTGGCAATCCCCTAGAATATGCAACTACATTTCTAGAAATTTCAGCAAATTCACTTTTTGGACTTGCTTGCTTGAATGCATGCCAACTAAAAAGCTCAATAGATTCACTTTCATTCATTTCTTCCATTATGTATACTTTGTCTACCCTGTTCCCTCTAAGTATACTCTTATTTCTAGTTGTAATAATTATTCTACTACCTGAACCAAACCAATTACGACTTCCACACAAAGCATTCAATTGGTCCATTTCACTAACATCATCAAGTACTAGAAGAACCCTTTTATTGCGAAGTTTTTCCATTAACATGTTTTTTCCTGATTCAATGCTATGTATCTTTGTTTTCATTTTCTTGTAGATATCAAACAAAAGTTGTTCTTGTAAATTCACTTGACCAGCATCTTGCCCCCAAGCTTCTCTAACATGTGCAAGGAAGCTTCTACCCTCAAAATTTCGGCCAATTTTGTTATATATGGCTTTCGCGATTGTTGTTTTACCAACGCCTCCCATCCCCCACATCCCGACTAGTAGAACGTCATTTGACAGATGGTGGTCTAGTAGCTGAATCACATTTTGGACTCGAGATTCTACTCCCACAGGATTATCAGCAACAAACAACTCTGTTTTGTCCAGCAAACGTGTAACATTTTCAACAACATTGTCTATAGCCTCGCTTTCATTCCTATAACCACAAAAAAAAAAAAAAAAAAACATAAGATAAGTGCACATTTATATATATGATCAAAAGTAGAGAAAATTTTAAGTAAGAAAATTATAGTTGGACATACAAGTATGTGTTACTCTAGTTGACTCATATAATGCAAGGTACTTGCTATCATTTCTCAATTTTATTTTTCTAAAATATAAGATATGTCTATTTTTTTTATTTCTTTAAATAACTTTGATTGATTTTGGAAAATACCCTAAAGCGAACATGATATACAATTTTATCGAACTATCATTGCTAATGAATTATAAATATGAGTTAACTTCAATGTTTTTTTTCTAAACACTTAATTATCCTATTTACTCTAAATTTTCCATACTTTTTTATCATCTTTTAACTACTTTCTATAAAATGTGTTAAAAATTTAAAGGTAGCTCAGTAACAAAAATGACAGGAAAAAAATAAATGAAGAAAGAAATGTGGATATGGCTGACATTCTCTGAGGTCAAATTAAAGAAAAATACTTTATAAATAACTGTTTGGGTATATATAGTTAAAGAGAAATAAAAAAAGAGAGGGAAAAAATAATGAATATGATAAATAATGTGATATAATAAAACTAAAAGATATAGAGATAAAAAAATATTAACATTATTAAAGTATTTATCAATCAAAATTTAAAACCAAATACACATCTTCACTGGTGTGCAAAAGGGACCGAATGGAATAGTCTTACAACGGAATATATTGTCAAAGTACTTTTTACCAATCAAAACTAGAAAAAATAATATTTATTTTTTTTGTAAGATACCGTCCATTCTAAAGTGTTATTTTTAAAAAAAATTAATCATTGGTTATTTTTAATTTAGAGACAATATTCAGTGAATTTCTGAAAAATCCTAATATTAAGAGGCAACGAAGAAAGAAGAAATTGAAGTGGTAAATTACCTAGAATGTAGGACTACGAAACCTGCAATTCCAGCAGCTTTACGAAGCGCCGTCTTCCAATTCGTTGTTACAATGTCTTGTGCACGCCGTTGACTCTCTACAACGGGTCTCTTGTTCTGTGCCTTCTCTTCTTCCGTCGAAATCTTACCCCAAACATTTTCAAAAGCTTTTCCAAACTCACCTGTTTGGTGACGCACTTCAGAGGGATCCACACCATAAAACACTGGCAGAACCACTTGCCCTATTGTTGTGTGACACTCCATTATTTTCTCCAATTCTTGCAGACACCATCTTGAACCTGCGTAATTTTTTGAGAAAACAACAATAGAAATTTGAGATTGTTCGATTGCTCGTAGTAGCGAGGGTGAAATGTGACTCCCCTTTGAAAGCGACTCGTCATCCTTGAAAACAGTGATTCCATCTTGTTGGAGAGAGGAACTGAGATCAGAAGTGAAGGTAGCACGAGTATCTTCTCCTCTAAAACTCAAAAACACATCATAGATTCTTCTGCCATTCGGGTTTTCATTCTTACTCGACCAAGTAAAAGGTGCAACCATCGCTAAAAGAAAGGAAGTAGTCGTTGACTCAGGAAAGTGCAGTGTTGTGTAGAAAAAAACGGAAATGATGAACGCAGGTGCAGGGTTTAAGTTTTAGCCAAATGCAGGGGGCAAAAGTTAGGACGGCACAGTAACCATGACCGGATCAGGATTCTCTCCCCTACCATAAGAATTTTTGCATTTTTGTTTAAGCGAATTATTTTTTATTTAAATAAAAATATAAAAATAGTAACACATAAAAATCATATTTGCCCCAAAAAATAAAAGAATTTTATTCCACCATAACCAGCACTTTATTCCATCCACTTAAAAAATACTAATATTTTACTATGGGTGAATTATTGGTGTCAAAAAAATTTGTTAATTCAAAACGGTGGGATTATGTTTTAATATTTTCTTAATAAAATAAAAATGTATTATATTAAAAATATCAATCATCATAAATATTTTTGTTGTTTATAAAATTTTATTATATCAATTATTTAAATAAGAATTAAAGTTGAAAATATTTTAAAATTTTGAATGTTTAATTAAAGAAAATATAACTACCATTATGAAAGTTATCAGTTATAAATAATTCATCCTTTGAATTAACTTCTAAAATATAAAATTTTAACAAAACTTAAATTATAAGTATAAATGTTGTAATTAAATTTATGTTATAGTATGATATATTAAAATAATAAATAAATTTATTAGTATAAATTTCAAGATATGTTATTGATATATTAAATATTAGTATAATATATTATTCAACAGCGTAGACTTTCAAAGTCTAGAATAGCTTTGTAATTTTGTTAGACAAATATTACACTAATAAAAGTTTTTTTAATACATAAAATATTTTGTTTGTTAATAAATGATATTTTTTATTGAATAAAATTAATTTATTTTTATATTTTTTTAATTTTTCACAATATTATTTAATTATTTTAAAATATCTCAAATTAATTTTTATTTAATTTTTTAATAAAAAGAAAATAAATGAAGTTATATTTGTAAACATTAATACTTATTAATATTTTAATATAATTCATAAGACTTTAATGAAACTTTTGTGAGTGTGTTTGAGAATATTTTTTAATTAATTAAAAAAATATATTTTTTAGAAAAATATTTAATAAAAATAACCATTTAATAAAGTAGCTGAAATAACTAGTTATTAATTTTTTTTTTAACTCTACCCTTAAATGCTAGTTTCAAGTACGCGTTGAAAGTATATATTTTTTATTTCTATTTATTTTTTAAAAAATTCTCCTTTATTCGTTTCATTTCTAAAATCCTAATGCTTCTACCTCGGGCATGTTTAAAATAATATAAATTATTTAGTACAATTATTAAATCTTATTTTTATAATAAAAAATCTTATTAATATAAATTTATTTGTATTATCTTATTTGATTTAACAAATTTATTTGTAAACAAGATTAGAATTAAAATTTTGTTATCCTAATTTTAAAGATGATAAATGGTTTTAAATAAAGTAAAATATAAAGTTTTATAACCATTTAAAAATATATATAATTAACCAATTTTAAATTTGAATCAAATGATTATATATGTCTTTTCTATTTTTTTTTATATTTATTAACTAATTTAACAACTAATTTTATGGATGACACTTAAATTTAAATTAATACTTTTTTGACTCAAATCGACTTAAATTTAAATCCAATTTTTTCCATTTAAGTTTAGGTTTTCCCAATTTGCATGTAAGTTATTTGTTGATTTGTTGGAAGATTATCTTGACTACTTAATTATTTTTCTTCCCATTTTGTCACTTTTGCTACTAGAATTGCAAAGGTTAATGGGGGTTGATCTGTTTACTAAATTATTGGAGTTGATATGTTTTCATGAATGGCCTTAGCTTAGACATGTAGGATTATTAAATGCAATAAGCTCATTTAGGTAATTACTGTGAAAACAAAGTTTAGAATTTATTTAGAGATGTGTTTTTCCATAATTGTATTTACTAATTTTTATATTTGTTAGCAAATTCTAGCAAACTTTTGATATTTCTGGTGTGTATTCCTTTTACAGTTACCACTTTTTATTTTATGGTTTTCTTTTCATTTTTATTTTAAAAATTAAAAATATTATAAATACAATAGAAAAATATATTCTCCTAAAACATGTTTCAAAAGATTCATGGATGCTAAGTTTACCCTAAATTTTATAACATATTAACAGTAATGGTAATTCAAGTATTTTATATGTTTTATTTTGCCTTATCTTGTATAAAAGTATTAGAATTTAACTAAAATACATTTACTGTGAGTTTCAAATACAATTGTCTCTGCTACAGTATAAATAAAAGAAATATATATTATTTTAAGAATTTTAACTTATTTCAAAATGCATGTTGCTTTAAAAATTAACAAAATTTTGATTATTAAATTTTATCCATTATTTTATTGGAAAATTATACCTTTTTTTTCCTTAATCTTATTTTACTTTCATTTTATTTTACTATGAACTTGCTACCATTTAATTTTAGAACCAATCACCGTAAGTAATTATGAATATCTAATTTATTTTAGAGTTCTATTATATTAATTTCATTTCATTCATTTTTTTTATTTAATTTTTATTTTGTTTTGTTATACTTTTTATTTTAGATTCCTAATTTATTTTATTTTAGCTTATTTTAATGGTAAAATTTCTCTTTTCATCCTCCTCTAACTTTTAAAAAAGTTTTAAATAGGTCATTTTTTCGTTAAAAACTCTAACTCCATTAGAAAGTTTTGTTGTTTTGTGTTATATAACACCCCAAATTTTGTAATATTGTTTAACTATTAATATAAATATTTATGTGAATTTTTGTGTGTTTGTGTAATTGATTATATATATATATATATATATATATATATATATATGAATGGATGTTGAAATTTGCACTTGAGTGCGTGATGATGATATTGATGTGTATAAATGCATATGGATGCATATAAATGTATTTGTATATGATTGGATTGGATTGATTGGACTAAGAAACAGGTTATGTGCGGAATATTGAGGTGTTCTCGCTGTAGCGAGAGGGCTCTAGGAGGAAGGCATGAAACTGTCGCCTTCTCACTGTAGCAAGAAAGCAACAGTTTGGGGTACATTTTTAGGTGCAGTCTCGCTATAGCGAGATTCTGCAGAAACTAGGATGCAGTTTTCTGTGAGATTTTCACTGCAGCGAGAGAGGGTGTCACTGCAGCGAGAATATCTTGCTGTAGCGAGAGTGTCACAATTAGAAAGGGATTTAAAGGACTCTAGGGTTTGGGAATCTCATTTTTCATATCTCCCTTCTAAAATTCTTTGATTCTCTCAATTTTAAGCCCTATTTTACCGATTAAATTGTATTCAAAGTTGTTTGGAAGCAAGATTGGAGGTTAGATTCACGTTTGGGGGCGTTTGGAGATAAGTTCTATGGTTAGGGTTTTGGCTTCTCAACCTCATTCTTTGTTTTCATGGTTCTCTTTGAGTTCTCATGGGAATTCTCCCTGTATTTAGGACATAACTTGTGTGGGAGGACGATTCTAGTGTTGATTCACGTTGTGGGTCTTTGAATTGAGGTAAAAGGAGACTCTACCCTATCTTATTTTATTTTGTTTACCATTTATCTTGCTAAATATTGCTATGTGGCTGAGATAAAGGAAAGGAAGTGTGTGATTGATGAAAATTATTGTGCATTTGAATACAATGTGGTTTGATTGTGGGGTTAACATACCCTTGATTGATAATGTGAGTGAATGTGTGAGAGCATGTCAATGATTGACGATTGAATAATGTAAATAGATAGAAATGGGTGTAGATGACATGTTGAATGTAAGTGTGAATTTTGTTGAAAATGATGTGTGATGGAATAAGGGCATATGTGTCGAGTGTTATAAATGAATATGGGCCTATGTGCCGTGTAATGTGAATGAATATGAGCATTGTGCTGTGTACTGTGAATAAATGTTGTATGCAATAGAAATGCGTGAGTTGGGCATGCTAGATGTCGTTGTAATGATGCTATGAATGGTTCAACGATACACTAGAAGTGTAGAAGATGAGGACAGTAGAAATACCTTAGGGAAGAGAGAGTGGTGGTGATACCAACAGTAAGCGTGGGTGCACTACAGGCCACACACTTTCCTCCTAACTAGACCTCTGACTACTACTTTTGTCGAGTGACTTGTGACTGCCCACGTGGTATCCGTGCAGTGGGGGTAACCGGCGACCATCCATGGTATGAAACTGTGATCATAGTGCAACAGTAAGTGTGGCAAGTGCAGTAAGTGCACATGTGTGTAAAATATTTTTGTACCGTGAATGTATCGGTTATGAATTGAAATGAAATGCTTGAAAGTGTCGTTTGTGATTGATTATGCTTGTGTAGAATGTATTAGAAATTATGTGAAATGTGTGAGGTGAGACTCTATGTTTGTTTGTGTGTGTTGGGTAGTATAAAGTACTCACTCTTACATTTATTTTTCAGGTGACCAAGACGATAAGCACCAGACTCATTGAAGGAAAAATGAAAAGTGAAACACGAGTGATTATCATATCATTTAGGGTATATTAATTTCAAATGTATTTATTTAAAATGTGATTTTTGTCATTCTTTCCCCTCCTCTCCAAAATCTCCATTGCAAGCAACAACTTAATGAGCTTTTCCAATCACCATTAGAAATTTCATTAAGATTAAACTCTTAATTATACCTAAATTATACTTCATAACCTAGAGTTTCTTTGACACATCTTAACACACATTTAATAGTTTGAAGATGCATTTCACATGCACAATGAAAAGAATTTAGAAAGAACACTTACATATTACAAAATATTAGGTCTTATTTTTTAATGAATCATTTTATATTAACACTTTAGTATCTTTAATCACTACCTCTTGATACTATTTCTATGATTAATTCATTGTTTTATATTAGTTTTATCAGTTTGGGCCTATTTGAACCTTAATTAGTAATTATACCTAATCATTGCATTTTAGTGCTTTTGACATTTGCTCACTATTTGAATTATAACTCTTGGTGCAAGTAGATTTTTTTAGTGATTCATATTGCATTGGAAAACTAACTCAAAAAACTTTAATTTGACATCTCATTCATTGGATTTGGAGTTTTGAGCTAAAAGTTACAGACATTTGAAGTTAGTTCCCTACTGTTGTTATGAGAATTACGAAAATTAAGTGTCCATTAGTAATTTACAAATAAAATTTAGGCCTAATTGGACTTTATGACTCATTTTACTTTTTGAACTTATTAGCTTAGATTTAGTCTAGAGTTAGAATCTATACAAGAGATGTAGTTGGAGGAATTATGGAGACAAAATCGTTTGACTTTCTTCCTTTTGACAATTTCGTTATCTTTTGACTTTGAGTTAATTTGAGTTGTTTCTTGTTTCTTCTTTTCTCTCTTCTTTTCTTGCAAATTTGTTTTAGCCTTTCCATGATAATTGTCCTTAAACTTGTATTTGTATTTACAATTATGATGGATGAATAATTTCATAGATCAATTTATGAATTTGATTCTGCAAAATGATAATGTAAGAATTTTTATTTTAATCTAATTTAAAACCTTATTTCTTACATTCTCAATTTTGATACAAATACTTTTAATTCGATCTCAGATTGTGTCGATACAATTCAAGATAATTCGCGTATATTAAATTCATTACTCTTATGATATTAAAACGTTTATTCGCGTAGTTCAGAATTTTAAGATCAAAGTGAAAAGAATTGTATCAAACCAATCAAGATGCTTGTTCAATGATCATTAAAGAAATTTAAATTAAAGACGCATGTTTTTTAATTTAAATTCATAAGTTAGATTGAGATTGGTTTCAGAACCAAATTTGTTTTACAAAATAGAAATTATAAGTTTATCATTTTTTGTTTTTGGAATTCCTTTGTGTTTTTAATTTCTTAATTACGTTCTTGTTTGTGTTCAAAATTCTTTTAATTTTCTGTTTCATTTTTAACATTTGTTATCAAAGTCTTTAGAGAATGATATAGGTTTGCCTCTTAATTTACTATATTTAAATTACATTTTATTTAACTAAGTACAACATTGATCATTGTTATATACTACATGAGAGACTTAAAATTTTTAAAATAGTCTCATTATTCTTTCCTACATTGTTCTCTTTGTCAAAACTTCAACTTTTGAAACATTAGAGTACTCATAAGTTGAGTTATTCTTTTAAAATTTTATAATTTCTTTTGAATATTTCTTGTAACAAATAACAATTCTTTTACATATTTCTTGCATATATCAAGACTTTATTATCTTTTGTTTAAACCTCCTCAACAAATATAATATTACATGGTCCAAGTATAAAAACTAATTAAAATAACATAATTCAAACACATAAAAAATTACTATTTATTAATAATTTAATTTTGAGTTAAACTCTATTAATATAGATTTTTATTAAAAAAATTAAACTAATATAAACAATGAGAATTTATGCTATAGTATGATATTAAGATAGTTAATAGATTTATTAGTATAAAATATTAAAACATATATTATTAATGTATCAAATGTTAGTATAATATATTATTTATTTAGTATAATTTTTTTTTAAGACTATAACAACATTTTAATTTTCATTAGATAAACGCTATACTAAAAGTTATTATAAGGCATAACAATTATAACAAATGATAATTATTATTTTTAGGTAAATGATAGTTTTTCAGTGTAAACTAAATTTCTTACTACTAAAATAATTAAAATTAGAGAGAGAGAAAAAAAAAACTCTCTTTAAATGGTTCAAATTCTCTTGGTACAATATTAAAAATAAAATTTGTGATGAATAAAAAATTATTATAAATATAGACAATAATTAAAAATAGAGAGAGAAAAAAATATCTCTTTAAATGTCCTAAATTCTCTTATTAAATCTTTCCTGTATTTACGATGAATAAAAATTCGTTGTAAATACAGGAAATAATCAAAATTGGAGAGAGAGAAAAATTATAACTTTAAAAGGTTTAAATTCTCTTATTAAAATATTAAAAAAAAAGTAATGATAAAAAATCGTTGTAAATATAAGCATCACTAAATTTTAGAATGGGAATATATTCCATCTCTTATTGGAATAAAGAAAATATGTCTCAAAATATATAAAATTCTTTTAAATAATAATAAGATTTTAAAAATTAGTTAAAATTTTCACTCAGTAGAGACAAAAATGAATCCTCTCTAATTAAAGATGAAATTTATTTCTCACTAATTAGAGAATGATTGATTTCCTAGCTTGTTAATTTGAGATGTAATATTTTCTTCGGTTTTAGTATTTAATTAGAGAAAAATTTTATTCCATCAATAATTTGAGAGAAAATTTGATTCTGATCAAATATAACCATGGATTTTAGGCTATAAATAAAGAAACAAAACTAAAAAAGAGTTTTCACAACTTACTCAAATAAAAAAAAAATAATGGCTTTAACACTTAAAAATTACTTTACATTCTTTCTTTGTAGGTTTTTTTTTATAATGAATATAAAAAATTTATTTTAACCAAATTTCAAACACCATATTCTCATGATCTTAATAACTACATCAAGCTACAATAAAATAGTTTAAAAATCAGAAAATCATCATTTGTAATGTATTGTAAATCATTATAACAGTTTTTAACTTCTTTTGATGGTTACTTCATTTTAGTTTTGATACATAATATTTGTTCATTATTTAAAATAATTTTTAAATTTTAATATCTATAATTTGAATATTTTTCATATAAGTACTAGAATACAAAATTGTGTACGTAGAAGTATCACAATGAAAAAATTAATTATGTGCGTCAAATAAAATTAAAAATTATTTAAATATAAAATTATAGTGTTATAACAGAAGTTAACAAAAATATTATTTTAAAAATATTTTTTTCTTTAAGGGCTTATTTATAAATTTTTTTATGCATTGAGCAAATCAAAACCATGAATTTGGTATAGAAATTAAATTAGTATTTATTTAAATTTTAATAATCTCCTAAGTTAGTGCTCAACTTAAAATAACACTTCTTAACTTTTCTAGCAATAATCGAGTTTACACAATAAATGATTATTTAAATTAAACACAATTGAATTAAAAAATCAATAATAATACACTAGTTTCACGGAAATTCCAAGCAAAATACATTTTAGTGATGTAAACTTAAAAAAACAAAACGAGATTAAATATATTTGTTAATTTATACGAAAGTCAGACTGAATAGGCATTTTCTTTTCTATTATACTTGACTATTTCTGGTAAAATAACATATAAATCATGAGACTAAATATAATGAGCAAAGCCAAGCAAATACACAAGAAATTTAGTATCGCCAACTCAAGGACATAAAATACCTTGCTATTATCCGCAAAACATTGTTTCAAAATTTCAAAGATAACTTATCAAACATAATTTAAATCTAAACTTCAATCATAATACACACATTTGAGTTATTAAAGAAACTACCAAGATATGTTTGGTTCCTAGCAATAGCCATTCAATTGCAAACTCCTGTCGCCTGCATTAACATACTATTAATTCTACTAATCAAAATATCACATTCTTAAAAGTACCCTAACTACACAGCAGCTCAGTTTGGTAAAACTTCTACAGTTCTTATAAAAAAAATATTCAACATAAAAAAAAAAATCATTCATAAGTTAAAAATAATTTATATTTTCAAATTTTAAAGAAAATAAATGAAAAAATTCTTAAAGTTTCTCAAAAAAATAGAAAAGTATAAATTATTTTTAATTTATGAAAAAAATTAATTATTTTTTATACTGATTTTTACTCTTAATAGAACTTATCTAGAAATTTATTTAAACTGAGTCAATATAATTTATACTTTATTAAGGAATTGTCACTATAACTTTTTTACGACCACTGGTATCTAAAATGAATATTAGCCCTTCTAAAGCATTACATTCATGGCTTCAGCAACCAAAACACTCGTAACCACTAACCTACATGCAAAACCTTTAATCTACAACTTGAAGTTATCTTTGATCAATCCACCATAACTAGCAACACCAATACGAGGTTTTTAGACACGATGAAAATTAATTTTGACCAAAATATTCTTCTGCCATCTTGTATCTTTACTCGCACTTTCTTCTTTTTTGTTCTTGTTTAAAGTGATCTCTGGACCGCACTTGAGGAGAAATCGACCTGATAGTGCATATATTTTCATCACCAATTACATTCTTATTTGGTGCATTGTTATTCTTTGCTTTTTTTTCAAATGGTTCATCATATACCAGATAAATTGTTATCTTCCTCACAATGAATCCATTCTCAAAAACAGCAACAACCTCTACTTTGTTACCGGGTTCTGTGTTTGATACTATCTTTTGCCACTCTTCATCTTCAAAGGAGCTTAGTGTATCTCTGTTATAAAGCTGAATGATGGTCTTTGTTTGATTTATCATCAACAAATTCATAAGTCCATCTGATGTTTTATCATCTTGGGTAGAATAATGAATAATGCATAGCATTGTCTTCAAGTTACGTCCATTCACTTGAGGAACTTCTAAAATCACAGAAGAACCTTCACAATTGAATGTAAACCACTGTGGATGATTGTCACTAGGAAGTGAACAAATATCACACCCTTTGATAGTCATATGCTGTAAAAGAAGGAAAAAAAATACAAAAAGTTTTTTTGAACAATATTATATACCACTTGATAATTAAGCAGTTAAAGAGATGATAACTTATAGGAAAAAAATAAATTGTTAAAAAAAATTCAAATCTAGGCATAGAAACATTTGCTTGAACTGTTAAAATAAAGACTATTAGTCCAACTTAAAAATATTATACCAGCTAAAAGAGTGAGAGAGAATGTTTCAAAGTTATATTAATTAATATTTATATCGTGATGATAACATGCTATACTGCTAAAAAATCGTACACTTCGAAGAATTTAACAATTTTTAATTTTATGAAACAAACTATATATAAATCACTTCATTGGTACTCACTGTAGCTAAATTGATATATAACCTTGATGAAGAGAAAAGGGAAACATATTTGGTAGTTGCGTGTTTAATATATTTACATTATCATTATTTGTACATTTTTATAAATTCTTTAATAAATCCTAAACATAACTAACAGGTTAGTAATCTCTGTTATTGTATAAATTATTATTATTATATACATGCATGCATCACTTATGTTATTTCTAAAACAAGAAGTTAGTGGTCTGTGTTATTAATTTGGAAGAAGGTTAATTTGTATAAAAGTTATTTGTATATTAACATGTTGATTTGTAGATATATTTAATCGTCAAATTTTCTTATTATACTTATTTCCATAAACCAGTTTTACTAAATAAGAGGTCTTGTCACTAAGTTTTCTGTTTCTTTTTCATATATATCCTACCAAGCATCACATGTATAAATTTGTGTACATTATGAAGTAAAATGCATACTGAAAGAATATATCCTCAATATTAAATAGTAAAAAAGAATAATTTTTAAACACTGCCACATATGATCATTTCAACCGTCAATATCTAACAGGATATGTGTGACAATTGTATAAAAAATATGTTAAAGCATAATCATTTTAATGGGATGGATTTAGTATTTCATTATTTTAATTTTAATTATAAGGAATGCTAGAACATTGTACAACATGTATTTTACATTGAAAAACAAATTGTTAGAAATATGTAATTATAGTAATATTATAAATAAGAAAACTAGTATTTTTATAATTATAATAATTTCATAACTCTATATTTTATATTAATGATCTTTATAATAAATATATGTTATGTTATTCGTCAAAACATATGGGTCATCCTATGTTTCTTGTATTTTTGTTTTAACATAGTATCTAAAGTGTAACGTAGGATAATTTTAATATGTAATTATCTAATGGGTCCACAGTTCATTAGTGCAAATTTTTTCAATAACTATTTTTTATAAGTAAAATTATTCTTTTTGTCTCTTAAATTTAGAGTAAAATTTATTTTCATCCTCTAACTTTTTTTTATTAATTATTTTTTTATTGATGTGTGGGGTGCAAGTCATATTGTATCTACTTTAGCATAAAAATATTTTAATATCTTTATTGATGATGATTTTAGATGTACTTGGTTATTTTTAATGAAAGATCATTTTGAGATTCTTTTATATTTTTAAAACTTACTTTTTTGAAATTTAAACTCAATTTGGTGTTCAAATTTGTAGTTTACAAAGTGCTAATGCTTGTAGGTACTTATCTAATCAATTTCAAAATGTTATGGCTTTTAATGGTGTTCTTCATCAGACCTTTCATGCCCATACTCAACAACAAAGTGGGGTTGTTGAACGAAAAAATACATATGATTGAAATTGTTTGTACTCTATTGTGTCATAGTCAGGTTTCTCATTGTTTTTGGGGTGATGTTGTTACTACTACATGTGACCTTATTAATAGAATGTCATCCTTGGTTCTTCAAAACCAAGTCCATCACTCTTTCTTATACCTTCACCAGACCCTTCACCATTTACCCCTTTGTGTCTTTGGGTCAACTTGCTTTGTTCATGATCTTAGTCCCATGCTTGATAAACTCCCACCAGTCTCTCACAAATGTGTTTTTCTATATTACAATAGGTCTTAGAAATGTTATAACTGTTACTCTCCCCACTCTTCGTCGCTATTTAGTTTTGGCTAATGTCATTTTCTTTGAATCTTTTCCTTTCTTTACACCCAGTCCTCCTTTTTCAAACTCTGACTCTACTTCTTCCCTTTCTCTAGGTTTTGCTCCTTTCCATTATCTTCCATCAGAGTTGGAAACAAGCAATGAATGATGAAATGTGTTCTTTTCAAAATAGTAGTACTTGGACCTTGTTCCTCTAACTCTTGGAAAGTCTCTTATTGGTTGCAGGTAAATCTTTAGGATCAAGGTTGGTCCTAATGGTAAGATTGGTTGCTTTAAGGTTCGCTTGGTGGCCAAAGGTTATACAGAAATATTTGGTTTGGACTACGACGACACTTTCTCTCCTGTCGCCAAAATGACATTTGTCCAACTACTCATATTTATGGTTGCTATCTGTCACTGGCCTCTTTTCAGTTTGATATCAAGAATGCTTTCCTTCATAGTGATGTTGAAAAAGAAGTATATATGGAGCAATCTTCTGGACTTGTTGCTTAGCGGGAGTCTTTAGAACTTGCTTGTCATCTTCAAAAATCACTTTATGGTGTCAAACAATCTTTAATGGCATGGTTTGGTAAATTCAGCATAGTGGTTTAATAGTTTGACATGACTTAAAGTGAAGCAGATCAATCCATTTTTTACTGTCATTCAACCTTAGGTTGTATTTACTTAATTATATATGTAGATGACATTGTCATTATAGGAAGTGATCACCATGGCATTGAACAAGTAAAGCAACACCTATGTCAGTACTTTTGAACAAAAGATCTTGGCAGACTTCAATACTTTTTGGGGATTAAGGTGGCACAATACAAGAGTGGCATTATGATTTCTCAAAGGATGTATGTAATGGATATCCTAAAGGCAACAATATTGATGGGGCCCAAACCTGTTGATACTCTTGTGGATCATAATACCAAGCTTTTGGCAAGTCATGGAGAGTCATTTTCATATCCAAAAAGGTATAGAAGACTTGTTGGAAAATTAAATAATTTGATAATATCTCCCCCTGAACATCTCTTTTGTAGTAAGTGTAGTGAGTCAGTTCTTTAACTCTCCTTGTGATGGATATTGGGATGCAATAATCTACATTCTAAAATATATTAAAGGAATAGTTGCATTAGCTTCAGCCATTCGAATTTTTGATATTTTTTTTATTTCTCATCAAACGAATGACATCTTCTTTTGGAAATCCTAGCTATTCTTACCATAATATTGGGGAACCTTATTGCTATTACACAAACAAGCATGAAACGTATGCTTGCATATTCCTCCATAGGTCAAATCGGATAGCTCTCGGAAAAGGTCTCTTATATGAAGATAAAGGACATATTTATGAGGTATTTAAGTTAGAGAAAAAATTTTGAGATGAAGACTGCCACTTCATCAGAGAAAAATTTTTATCCAAAGACATCACTACTAGGTTTGTAAATTTTCATGATCAACTAACAAATGTCTATACCAAGTTTTTAAGAGGTCTTCGAATTAGTTATATATGTAACAAACTTAATGCATATGATTTATATGCTCTTACCCGATGAGAAATGTTGAAATTATGAAATTATAGTAATAATGTAAATAAAAAAATTAGTATCTTTATAATTACAATAATTTTGTAACTATATATTCTATATCAATGATTCTTATAAACATATGTTATGCTATGTAGTCAAAATATGTGGATTCATCTTATGTTTCTTATTCTCCTTTCTCAACACAAACAATTATATAAACTTGCGTATATTTCTTTATTGAAGGACTTGCATGTATAAAAGAATTCATATATAATTTATATTAAGGTGAGATTTGAAAGAGTTTATTGAGAAATTTTATAAAAATAATTTATAATTTGTATAAGCTCTTTTTCACTTATTCTAAGAAATATTATAATCAAAATTTATCGCATAAGCTTTCATATAAGAAGAATTTATTAAATAATATTTTAATTAAACTACGTTTCTAAATACATCCTAAAAACTCTACTAAAATGATAAGGCAATAATTAATGTTACCTGTTTCTACTAAACATATAGTATTATATAATATATATATTTATTTATCTTCAAATGATGCTTGTATGAAAACATAACAAATAGATACATGCAAGACAAAGAGCAAGAGTGAGAGAAAACCTGTAAAATGCTGTCTTTAAGAGTGTTGGTTATTTGACAATTCATTCCCATTTGAATTGAAAGGGATTTCACACAAGTTTTTGATTTGGAAATGTGTGTTAGACTGTTGGATTGAATTGATGCAGAAGCCTTCATATTAAGTACTTGTGATGTGGTTGCAATTGATTCTTCCAATCTTTTAGGATTCGTCGCATATAAAGCATTTAAAATTCTCGCCACGTATTGAGATAGTTGTAGTTCAGAGCCACACTCCATCCAAAGACTTTGAAGCTTTGGAAAGTCCGTGAAATCTCTGGAGATAGATGATAGCTCATGGAAACTACTATTTACATCTAAAGAAACAAGAGATGACATGTCAATAGATGTTTGAATCAGAGACGAGATATTATTTGTTGGTGACATCCAAGACCAAATGATAGAAGGAAACACATCACGTGAGAATCCCTTATGGCCACATAAAGAAATATAGCCAATGTTTTTTGACTTTACTATTGAAAACGGCACACTTGTTATCGCCGTCTTATCTGCTATCAAAGTTGTCAAAGATTCCATTTGCTCTATGTCCTCTTCCAACTTGTCAATCATTAAGCATCCAGAAAGAATGAGAGTTTTTAAAGATTTTAACTTATAGATACTTCTTGGAAGGTTGCCTAGACTAATACAATCTTTTAAATTTATAAGAATTATTTTTCTCAAAAGTCCAATGGTATTGGAAATCTCACTCAAGCTTCGACAGTCCATGAGTATGAGCTTTTCAAGATTAGGCAAATTTGAAAAGTCTGATACCTTTATCAAATGATGAGAATGACTAAGATTGAGGATTTTTAGTTTCTCCATAGGCTGCAAAACAAAATATTATCAATAAAAATTAGCTAAGAAACTTTTAAAAAGAATGGAAGCAATTACATATAGAGTGGAAAGTAAACTTTTTAATCAAAGTATTACTTTCGCTTTCAAAATTTTCCATCCAAAACTACTTGCATGCATCTAATGTCATATATAGAAATTATTATAAGCAATTGTGAGATTGTTTTAAAGAGTTTTTTTTTTTTTTCCTTTTCAGATAGGTTTTGAAATATGAATTTAGAACATCTTTAATCAAGTACTCAAAGATTGTAGGCCTACGTTTTTAATAACATCACTTCTTTTTCTTATATCGAAGTTTTTGCAAAAAAATTAGGTGGCCATATGTTATATATCTATTATATTTCTCTCTATAATAATATATTTTACTTATAAAAAAAATATATATCTATTATATTTGAAAGGGCTTACATTTAAGGTACGTATTAAATAAATTAATAAAACTCATTTGACAAATTAATTTTTTGGAAATTAAATTTTGTTCACGGTTAGTTTAGAACTTCTCTATACTATCTCTCAATCAAGAATTTCTAAATTATTAACAAAGTTTTACCATTACAATATCTATATACAACATCTGACTTTTCTACCGCCGCGCTATGAAATCATTTCATAAAGTTTTAAAATAGTGTATTGGAAATGAAGTCAATGTAGAGAAATCTCCAATTTCATAACTTTTGGGAAAAGAAGTGTTATATATATATATATATATATATATATATATATATATATAGAGAGAGAGAGAGAGAGAGAGAGAGAGAGAGAGAGAGAGGCACACAAATGTTTTATAATAATAAATAACATGTTTCACAATTGGAATATTTGGAAAACCCTTATCAAGATACTTGTAAAATTAAAACGACTAAAAGATTAAAAAATAAAATTGTATCTTTGAGCACCATACAATAAAATAGTATTAATGTGTTTTTAGTTTAACTTGTTTTTAAAAGATAATTATTTACTTTCTTTTTGTAGCTTCCTGAGAGTGTTTTCAAAAGATAAGTGAATATTTTTCATTAAAAAACAATTCCGAACATGGACTTGGTATTTAGGAAACTTAATTTAAATTGTCTCCACAAAGAAGGAACACGAAAACAACTTATGAAATGCTAAAAAGAGAAAGTACAATTAATACCTGAGCCTTTTTCCACAGATGTTTGACATTGCTGTTTTCTAACTCAATAGAAACTAAACTTTCTTGATAGAGGTTTGTAGGTATACATGCTAAAGGAAATCCATGCCAACAAAGCCATCTCAGATTTCTTGAAAGATATTCAAAATTTCCATCGAGTTGCACTCCGACAAGTTGAAGTAATCTGAGTTTTTTCATCTTTTCAAATGCTTTCGTATTGAAACATTTTGTATTAGTTCCTGGAAACTTTAAAGCTAATCCCTCAGTAGCTTTTGTTCCCTGTAAAATAAAACTAATAGAGATTAAAAATGTACTAACTTATGGATTCATGGCAACTTAAAATATTGCAATGAAACATATCAGTTGTTACTAGGAATTACAAAGCACGTCAAAATCCAACTAATTTTCAAAGTTCTTATGATAACAAAAAAAAAATAAAGGAATGTTAGCACTTGAGTAATAATAAATGTTTATCCTTCTTCCTTTAGCTTAAGATATTTTAAATCCAAAAACAATGCAAAGTTCTTACAATTTGTGTTGATAGCACATTAACCACATCCTCATGAAACCATAATCTGCTACGCTTCTCAAAATCCTTTGGGGATTCAGCCCGAATGATTTCTCTTCCCATATCTCGTAGCAAATCATGCATTCCAAGCTTATTCTTATCATTGACAGTTACAAGGCTTCTCTCTACAAGGACACGTATTCCGTTTTCTGCGAAAAGTCCACATCCGTTCAATATGTGTATAACATCATTTCGGTCCATCCCAATAAAGAAACAAGCTATATCAAGGAATATGTCTTTCTCTGTGTCATCATTTAAACCATCATAGCTTATTTTCAACTTCTTTTGTACTTGATCATTGGGAATTCTTGTGAGTTTCTCTAATACAATTTCCCACTCTGTGACCACCATATCAAACAAATAGGACCCAAGGACTTCGAGAGCTAGTGGCAGTCCCCCAGAATACGCTACTACATTTCTAGAAATTTCAGCAAAACCACTTTTAGGAATTGCTTGCTTGAATGCATGCCAACTAAAAAGCTCAAGAGATTCACCTTCATCCATTTCCTTCATTATGTATACTTTGTCGACCCTATTCCCTCTAAGTATACTCTTATCTCTGGTTGTAATAATTATTCTACTCCCTGAACCAAACCAATTACGACTTCCACACAAAGCATTCAATTGGTCTAATTCATTCACATCATCAAGTACAAGAAGAACCCTTTTACATCGAAGTTTTTCCTTTAATATACTTTTTCCTGATTCAGTGCTATTTATCTTTATTTTCACTTTCTTGTAGATATCAAACAAAAGTTGTTCTTGTAAACTCACTTGACCACCATCTTGCCTCCAAGTTTCCCTAATATGTGCAAGGAAGCTCCTACCCTCAAAATTGCGGCCAATTTTGTTGTATATGGCTTTAGCAATGGTTGTTTTACCAATGCCTCCCATCCCCCACATTCCAAGTAGCAGAACATCATTTGATAGATGGTTGTCTAGTAGCTGAATTATATCTTGCACTCGAGATTCTATTCCCACAGGATTATCAGCAATGAACAACTCTGTTTTGTCTAGCAAACGTGTAACATTTTCAACAACATTCTCAATAGCCTCACTTTCATTCCTAAAACACACACACAAAAAAAAAAAAAAAGACAGATAATAAGTGGAGAAAAATACTTATCAAAGGTAGAGGAAAATTTGAGTAAGAAAATTATAATTGGACATAAATGTGTGTTTTACTCTATTTGGCTCATATAATGCAAGGGACTCATTACCATTTCTCAGTATTTTATTTTTCTTCTGTTATAATTTAAATAACTTTGATTGATTTATGAAAATACCCTGAAGTGATCATTAAAAAAAATTATTCAGTGAGTTTGGGAAAATCCTAATATTAAGAAAGAACGGAATTTTAAGTGTTAAATTACCTAGAATTTAGGACTACAAAACCTGAAATTCCAGCAGCCTCACGAAGCGCCGTCCTCCAGTTCGTTAAAACTCTATGTCGTGCTGAAATCCATCGAGTCACCATGATGTGTTTCTTGTTCGCACAAAGTCCAGTCAGCAGCTTCCGTTTGGTGGTTGTGTATCTGTTAGAATGATTTTGAAAAGCATTTCCAAACTCACCTGTTTGGTGACGAACTTCAGAGGGATCAACATCATAGAACACGGGCAGAACTACCTGACCTATGGTTCTGTGACACTCCATTATTTTCTCCAATTCTTGTAGACACCATCTTGAACCTCCATAATTTCTTGAGAAAACGATGATAGAAATATGAGACTGCTCAATTGCTCGCAGAAGCGAGTCTGAAATGTGATCTCCCCTTGGAAGCGAGTCGTCATCCTTGAAAACGGTGATTCCGGCTTGTTGAAGAGAGGCAGAGAGATGCGAAGTGAAAGAAGCTCGTGTGTCCTCTCCTCTAAAACTCAGAAACACCTCATACATTCTACTGTCGTCATTCTGCAAATCAGGAAGTTCCAAAAAGTCATCGTGAAAATTTTCATTAAGAAATGCACCGAAATCATCCATGGCTAAAAGGGGCTGATAAAAGTGAAAAAATATGACAGAAAATGTTGGTTGACTCAGAAATCTGCAGTGCTGGTGTTGAAGAAACCTGGAAAAGATGAATACAGCAGCAGAGCTTAAAGCCAAATGGTAGCAACAAAGGTTTTTCTCTCTCCTCATATTTCATATTCCACAGGGCAACAACCACAGTGCCCCCGCGATGACTTACTTTCCGTCAACTTAAAATATAGAGTTTTAGCCTTCTTCTTTTTTTTTAAATCTTTCATGTAAATTATTTTTGTTTTAGTTCTTGTTTTTAATTTCTCTGATTAATACGATTTAACTAAAAATTATTTTAATAGATAATAAAAATAAAAATTTATCAAAAAATTATTTGAATGGAAAAAAAAAAAAACATATTAAAACATTAAATATATAGTAATTGTTATGATGAGAAAAAATTGTTGAGCAGAAACCAAAGGGGTGGTAAGATTTTAATAATCTTCTTTTTGGCATAATGACCATTTTTCATTTCTTTTCAGAAATCGGCGTTTTAACTTAAGAAAATATAACTAGACTTGAATATCTTTTATATTTTTACTTGTTTATGAAACTTATTTAACTATTTTACACTTTTTTAACTTTATTTTTATCTAAAACATTTAAAACAAAACAAATATATGAACAAATTATAAATTAAAATATATTAATTATTTAATACTTTAGTATAACTATATACTGGCATGTTACGCAGGTGTTTAATTTTTTTTTTTAAATATTACAAATCTATTTTATTTATAAACAAGGTTTAAATACCTTTTAACTACATTCAAATAGGGCTAATGTCAAAAAATTACTTCAAATTATTTTTTTTATTTTAATGTCTAACTAATTTTTTTTTCAATTTTATACCTGACGTTAATTTCTGTTAAATGATGACATAGTTAACAGTTTGTCACGTCAGCGTCAATCTCTCTCATTCACCTCATTATTAAACCACTACGTTAGATTCTACATCAGTATTTTTAAATTCAAAAAAATAAAAAAAGTAAAATATAGAAATTTAAGTGCGCAGTGTGAAAATATTGAAGATTGAAGCTTAAACCACCAGTAGGCAGTTATTCAATCTTGATTTTCAAGTGAAATATTTTCAAATAGAAAGTAAAAAATCGTTGAACCCCTTATCTGACATTGTATTTTGTTTATCATCTTCATCTTCACCTTTGCTGTTTTTCGTTTTCAAAACAAACATCAGCGTTGTTGTTTTTTTTCTTGTTTCCAAAGCACCATGATTGTTACTAGAGGCAATGTTGTGGACATTGTCGACATTGTTAAAGGTAAGGGTTATTTGATTAGATTATTAGGCTTTCTTTCATAAATTTTTGCTTTACCTAACACGAATATTTGTTCCTTTTTTTATATAGATGGCTTTCAATGTTATAATTAATCACGGGGGTCATTTTGAACTTGACCCCATGATGCACTATGTTGGGGGCAAAGAGACTATTCCTTTGAAGAATATTGATATGGACAGGTGGTCGTACTTTAAAGCACTTGAGATTTTAAAAGAAGACTTAGGTTACAGAGAACATCCTGTGAGGATATGGTGGAAATTTGGTCCTTCTGACTTCAAGAAAATCAATTGTTATAGTGTAGCGCTGGACATGGCTAATTTTGCCATGTGTAACAATGTGAAGGTTGAAATATATGCTGTTTGTGAAGGAGGTAATGAGGGTGTTGTTGGGGATAATTTTTCCAATAGTGAGGAGGAATCTCTAAATGAAATTCATTTAGATGAAAGTGAGGAGGATATGACTGATGACATGGATGATGGATTTGATAGAGACGCTCCAGAATTTGGGCAAGGTAGAAGGAAGAAGTCATTTGCAAAGAAAGTGAATGAAGATGCTGAGGCTGAGGAGGTAGATGTTGCTCAGAGTGTTCATCAACCTGACAAATTCAATGTTCATGTAGAGGTTGTCTGAATTTCTGGGGATGAAGATTCTGTTGAAAAGTCGACACCTCAAGGAGACTTACCAAGTGTGCTTTAGAGTGATGGTCAATCTACAAGAAGGGTAGCTGTTGGTGGTGGTGTTGCAGGTGTTGGGGGTGGGGATGCTGCTGTTGGGGTGGGGATGTTGATGTTGGGGGTGGTAATGGTGTTGTTGGGGGTGAGAATGATGATGATGATGCTGGGACTGCTGTTGCTGTTGAGAAACCTAAAAGTGAAAAAAAAAAAAAAAAGGTTACTAGGAAGAGACAATAAAAAAGAGTGAATATTTTTTGTCAGAGTAATCAAGGTTTACACAATACAGATAATTTTTTATAAGGCACAAGAAATACAAGTAGATGACATTGATCATGGTTATGCAAGTGAAGAACTACTCAGTGGTGACTCTGAGGAAAATGGTTATATAATGAAATATTCCAAATTTAATGCTGATGAATTGAATAAGGATTATAAATGGAAGTTGGGTTTGGAGTTTGGTTCCATCAAGGAGTTTAAGGACACAATTCAAGAGTACAATGTGCTGAATGGAAAGGAAATCAGATTCGATTTAAATGACAAGAGAAGGGTAAGGGCAGGATGTAGACATTGTGCTGAATACTCTGTGTATGTTAGTAAGGTCAGCAATTCAGACAGCTGAACACTCTGTTTGACAAACACACATGTGGAAGGGTCTTCCACAATAAGAGTGTGAAGTCAGCTTGGGTTGCTAAGGTTTTGATTAACAAGATGAAGGTTGGGACATTGACATTACATTAAAGGATATTATTGGAGAATTTAAATCCAACTATTCCACTAAGATAACACTGTTAAGAGCGTTCAGGACTAAACAGATAGCTAAAAGTGTGATTGATGGTGACATTGACAAACAGTATGGACTACTGTGGAGATATGTAGTTGAACTTAAATGAAGAAGTGCAGGTAATACTTCTGTGATTAGGGTTTTTAGGCCTTCTTTGGAGATTTTGCCAAGGTTTGGGAGTTTCTACATGTGCCTTGAAGGTCCAAAATTAGCCTTTAAGAAATTATGTCGACCATTGATAGGAGTGATACTCTACCTTTATAAATTAAATAATAATACTAAGGATACTTCACACAATTGTCAAGAGTAATATATTTTCATACAAAATAAAATTATTAGATATACCTTACCCAAATGTTTAAAACGATAACTCAGTCTTATAAAATAGATTAAGAAGAGGCATTTGCACTCCAAAAGTGAAGATAAATACAACTTAAATATTTAGTAATTCCACAAAAAAAAGAGAATAAGGTTTAAAAAAATTAATTTTAAATATATTTTTCTTGTTCTCTTATTAAAAAATGGAAATAAAGACCTTGAAATAAATAAGTAAAAACACGTTCTTATTTACAAATTAATATATATTTAAGAGTACACATACTTGATCTATTTATTTTTAAACTAATTTATTTTCAATAAGTAATTTTTGGAGATTAAGTACATACATTACATATATTTTCAAGTATCGATTGATGTAATACTTAAATAAGTAAAATAAAATTAATTAAAAATTTAAAAAGACATATATTAAAAATATTTAAATATTTAATAATTATATTTTTAAAATAATTAAAAAATTATTTTCTTATTTGAGAGGAATGGAATTAAAAGAAAAGAAAAGAAATTAAAGTAAATAAGAAAAATGAAAAAATAATTTGTTAAGAAAAATTAACTTTGTATCTCTATTTTATTTTATTTTAACTAAACAAAAATATATCATTATTCATAATTTTTTTATAATTATTGTCTTACACAAATAAATGATTTTTTTGAAGACTAAATAATATTAAATCATTTAACAAGAAGTTGAATCTAAATCCAACAATGTTTTTACGTTGAAACGTGTGTTCTCACAAAAAAAAAAGTATAAATTGTCATGTATCACTTTAACATAGATAAAGTTCTAGCTATATACACTTAGAGTACTATATAATTTGTTTAATCAATTTCACCCTTGCAAACAATACCCCACCCTTTATATTATGTTTGAGAATTGCATTTAAGAAGGGAGGAGAAGGAGAATTACAAGAGTTTAACTCTTATTTGGGAGCTGATTAATTAGAAGGAAAAAGTTTTGGAGGTTTTTTTAAACTCTCTTAATGCTAATTTTTTAAGTTCTTCCATTGTGGGATTTTCTCCCTCTCACACTTTCATACTCTTTCACATATAGAATTCTAACTTTTTTATAAAAAAAATATATATTAATTTTTCAAATGATGATTTTTTTTAAAAAAATTATAAAAAATAAAATAGTAATTTTAAAAATATTAACTTTTAGAGAAAGAAAAATATTTATTTTTATATACATAAAAGATGTAAAATATAATATCATTTATATAATTAAACCCCCCCTTACCCTATCCTCTCAATATTAAACATCTAAACAAGGGAGGAATTTAACCTCCTTTTTCCTTTTTTCCCTTTCCCTCCTTCCCCCTTCAAACCCTTCCCCTTTCACTTCCTCTAAACTCTCAAACAAAGCCTTAAAATCTAGTAATTACATTTTTCACATCATGACTCATAGCTAGTTATCGAGTATTAAGAGGAATTATTATGAATTCTTATATTTCTAATCAACAATTATCTCACCAATTTTTTTTAATATTAATGCAATAGTCGTTAATCTAAAATATTAAAATGTTGAAATGCAAAAAAAAAAAAAATCATAGTTAAATTTATGATATACTTAATAATGACAAAAGAGAGTTAAAAGATGAGTTCTATAGTAAAGTCAATAAGTTAATTTATTAAAAATGTAATAAAGTAATCTTTCTTTTCGTTAGAAGGAAGGATTTGATGTCATTGTTTAAATATGTGAAATTGTTTACTCTAAACAAAGTAAAGCTTTCTTTGTACAAGAGTATTGATTTAAAATGAGGTAATGAACTTGGAATGAATATCGAGAACTGAAATAAAAGTTTAACTTAGGTGCTATTCAAGTAATAGGAGTGAGTATATGAATCATGGAAATCAATTTAAAGTCAATAAATCAAA